GTATGGAATACCCCTTTGGCTACTTTGGGTCAACTGTCTTGCTCCCTCCCAGCTTCCCGTGCCCCTCCTCACTGGCAGAGCATGGGAGACTGAAAAGTGCTTGATCAGGGTAAGCGCTACTGAGCAACAGCTAAAACATGGGTGTGCTATCAGCATTATTCTCAGACAAAAGCCGAAACACAGCACTGCACAAAACCAGCAGTTCCTGGGGGAAAACAGGAATGAGGCCTGCCACATAGCTTGGGACTCTCCTTCACAGAGGGGAATGAGGCTCTCTGACCCCTGTCCAATGCAGAGCTGGAACAGAGATGATGCTGCAATGTAGAATTTTCTGCTGGCTTTCTTACCAAAGAGTGCCAAACCACCTTTACATGATGTGCAGTAATCGTTTTCATTAACACAGGGATGATGACCCAGTAATTAAGGACCAGTCACACACAGCTCTTCAAATGACACCCTGGGACTGCCAGGAATAGGCAGGGGCAGTCATGGGTGTGGCACAAGGAGCAAGAACAAGCGATGAGGAAGCAGAGACATGAAGTGCACAGACGTGCCTCTGCTAGCCAAACCAACATGAAAACTCAGAGGTGCTGCTACCAAAGTTACAGTACACCTTTCCCCATCAGTGGGCAAGCAGCGTGTCACATCCAGTATGAAAATGCACTGAGCTCAAAACTAAGCCACCCCTGCACAGCATGGAGGCTGCTTTTGGCTCTCAAAGGACAAATGCTACAGTTTGGCAGTAATGCAGTGCAGTCTGCTACAGCTTATTTTCTGAATTCAGCAGAAACAATTTCCCATGTTTCTCCTACCTTTCAATTCAATTGTAGATACTCTTTAAGACCCACTCATGGGTCAAACCACTTCTTCACCCATTGCACGCTCCAGGGAGATGAGGCACAATGCAGGGGTGGGCAGCAGCCTGTATTGCTGTCACTACAAAGATTATGCTAGGGACAGCAGCAGCCAATGGTGAAGTATTACTATTCAATTTTCTGTAATTAATTGCTAAACACCATTGGCCAAACTGGAGAGTTATAAGGGGAGTGTGCACAACTTCTACTGTCTCTTCTCCAGGTCTTTAATTACGTCAGATATGCCCCATTTGGGAGTGGTTGGGAGAGAGGTATTGAGAGACCCAGGTTGTTCTAGATCGGGGTGGTGCAGGGGCAGCCTGCAAAAACCTCACATGGGGGGCTTCTGCCTCTCTATATCCAAAACTCCACACCCCACCATTGTGTCAATACGATTGTTGCCTGCCAGTGTGTCAAATCCGAATGTATTTTCCTTGTGAGGATTTAGAGCCACTTTCACAGGGGTCATCCTCTTCTCCCCAGGTAGCGAGAGTGAGGAGGAATTTTTTTGCTACACCAGCTACCCCCACTATATTTACAGCTTTGCTTTGATGGTTTAATTCCTAACTTCTCTATTTGCTGTTTATTTAAAGCATTAATTTGGGCCCCGTGTCAATTAAAAACTCCAGACTTTGGCCCCATGGGGATATGTCCATAGGGCTCCTTATCCGAGGACCATTGGCAGGTATTCATGTTTCCCAGGGGGCAGCCCGAGCCCCAAATCGCAGCTTCCAGTTTGTTAACCACTTCGAGTCCTCCCGCAAAGCTGCCAGCTGGTTAGTAACATCGTCGCGGCCGGGGGGGGGGGGAGCGGGGAGGGAAGGGGAAGGGCGGTCGCATTTGCGTGTGCCTAGGCTCTTAACCCTTCTTGCAGCAGTGCCGGGATGTGACCCTTGGGCTGTCCGTGCAGCCCCGCGCTGGGTGCCCCGGCAGGAACGCTTTTCGCCAAAGGTCATTTCTGTCACAAACGTGAGGCCGACCCACTCTGTCCCGGGACGGTCCGAGGTCCCAGCGGGGTTCCCCGTCGGACGCTCTCGGGCCAGCCCAGCCCATGTCGCGCCCCGGAGTAACTGTGTGATGTCTCCGCCCGAGTCCAGACGCGCACGGGGGCTGCTCAGTGGCTGCCAGAATTCTCTCCCTTGGAGACTGAAAGAGCGTTTTCAGAACGTCTGGTGATCCTTTACGGAGGGGCCTGAGATGCCTGGCACCTTCGGGAAGGGCCATCGGTATTCCGTGCAGCCCTCAGATACATCACCTGGGGACAAGCAGCCGTCTGTACTCTCTGCGATAGCTCTGACAGCCCTTTTGTTTTCACAGTGGCAGGCTCTCCTCTCTCCTTGAGGTCCAGCTCCGATAGCCCTTTCGTTGTCGCAGCGATAGGGTCTCCTCTCTCCTTAAGGTCCAGTAAGTCCCCAGCCCAATAAGCCCTCCTGAGGTTATCGACTGATAGCTTGCGAATCTGTTGCTCAAAAACATCCCTGGATCCCAAATCCACTCTTCATCACCGAACAGTTCCTGATCACCCTCTGTCAGAGAGACTCCACAAATACTCTGTTTCCATTTCACCTGCCTTGCTAGAAAACTCCATTTGCAATTCCCTGAGCTGAAGTCCTGACCAGGAGCTGTGTGGAACATGGTTCGAGGGTTGCTGCCTCGTGGGCCCTTCTGCCTTTCTGTTTTAATTACAAATCACACATTCCTTTCCTCCAGTTCCTCCACCTCTTTGGAGCAGCTCTCATCAGAATCTCCCCAGATACCACTGCCCCAGTCCTCCAGGTCTGTGCCCTCAACCAGCTTCTGTTGGACAACACTGGGGTGTTTTCTTTTTTCACTCATGCCAGCATAATTTCAATTCTTTGTTCCAAGACACATGTTCATTGTCTTTCTCTTTTCAGTTCCTCTTTTACACAGCCCATCTCCCGACTACTTCTACAAATCACCCCTCTCCAAGCAGTTCTGTGCCTGTACCAGGCACGTGCCCGAGATGGTGCACGCACTGTCTTTACCACCTCCATCATATATACAGCAATGCTGGATTCTCTCCAGGATTACTCCTGGGTCAATATTCCGCTGCCAGGCAGGGTAATCTACAAAACACCCACACACTAGCTGTATAACATGCACAGTTTATTAAAGAAGCACACTAAAGCAAACAAGCACACTAACACAAACTGGGTGTATATATAGTGAGTATGTACAAGAGCAGCAAAGAAAGCTGGTGTTTATTTTTTTCCCCTTCCCTTTTTAGTTTTATATTCTCCCCTTCTTGTTATTCCCCTTACCATTATTATTACTGGTGGTAGCAGTAGTGATTTGTGTTATACCTTAGTTACTGGACTGTTCTTATCTCAACCTGTGGGAGTTGCATTCTTTTGATTCTCCTCCCCATCCCTCAGGGAGCAAGGGGAGAAAGTGGGGAGTGAGTGAGCGGCTGAGTGGTTCCGAGTTACCGTCTGGGCTTAAACCATGACAGACTTTTTTGGCGTCCAGTGTGAGGCATGAAGGGTTGCAGTAATGACAGATCTGACCAGAGTGTGTCTAATCCTATTTGTGATAAGCACTCATTGTTTTGGATTAATAGTCACTCATCACAATGTTTATTTATTTGCTCTCAGAGTTGCTGCATTTGGTCTTTGCACTTGGTGTTGCACTCCAGACCAGCATTCGGTTTGGAGTTTCATTATGTCATATCTTCCTTGGAGCCAGTATTTGCTGTTTTAGTGTTTATCGGCTTTGGGGCCTGGGCTAAAGTTCTTTTTTCATTGTACTTTATGATAATGGCTTGTAATACAATAGAATTATTGATTGTAAAACAGATCTGGTATGTGTTCTCAGCATAGCCATCACCTCTCTACTTTGTGATGCATGTAGTAAGAATTGTTAACAATTACACCTTGTTTTTTCCCCCTTGGAGGGCCAACCTATAGAGGGGACATCCTCACACCTTCCACTCCCCCACCAGGCTATTTCCAGTAGATCTAGGGAATTTTAAAGATTTTGAATATCCTTTGGATACTTTTGAAACCAGCTTCTCCATTTGCTGGGAGTCTGCATATTGCTGCCTGTACTGCGCACGTTTTACCTAAGGCCATACCACCCTGAGCATGTCCAAACTCGTCGGATCTTAGAAGCTAAGCAGTGTCAGGTTCGGGTCTTGTCTAAGGTTAAACAGCTATCTAAGAACACCACCAAGAGATCTTCCACAAGGCTGGACATGAGTGGCAGGGTGTGTGGGATCATATGGCAAGTATCTGGGCCAGTGGGGCCCTCCAGTGCTTTGGAAATTCACCCGTTTGAAAAGTGTGAAATCCAGACAAATTATCAGAACACTTAAGTGAGGTGTGTTGTCATCCTGGCAGGACCAGAGAGGGACAGATCACCGCAATGTGCTGCAGCTTGGCCTATGCCCTGTTCTGTAAGGAGCAGGAAAAAGATGCCTCTGGATCTGATGGCAAAGCAACAGACAATGCAGCTGCTCCATCCCCAGCAACAAGCACAGCAGCTACCCCAACTCCAACAACAGACACTGCAGCCACTCCAACCCCGGGAGCAGGTCCTGCAGCTGAACCAAAGGACCAGTCTGTGCCACTATCAGTTGCCCCTATAAGCTACATCATGTGTCATTGGACTGGATGATCTTAAGGGACTCTTCCAACCTAAATGATTCTGTGACTCTACATCAGTAGCAGGCAAGATGCAAGTGGAAAAGAAATGCACAGCCTCTGCTGATGTCTTCTCCGTAACCAGCCAAGTGAAATTCCAGCTCCAACAGAAATTCCAGCAGACCTCACTAATGCAAGTGAAGTTACTGCCTCCAGCTATCGGCTCCACCCATCTGCTAGGGATTGCTCCTGTGCAGGACAACTGTGGGAAGCTAATATAGACTCCACACCCACTCCAGGAATGGAGCAGCCAAGGATTGTGCTAACAGTGCATGGGAAGCTTCAGCAGAGGGGCACCAGCAAAGCGGCAGCTCTCATGTCCCAGTCCTGCACTTTGTGACCAGTAAACATTACCCTCTGTCCACCAGCAGCAGAATTTTTGCACCAGGTGGGTGGTGCCAGGACAGCATGCATCACTTATTTGACATAATTTATGTCATGACCAGGTCCCACACTTTCCAATATATTCCAGTTAACCACCATCGCCTTTCCTGTCTTTTAACAGGTATACACATAGGTATATCTACACAGCATGTAGATGAGGCCCCTCAGTGATACGGTTCAGTGGTGGACTTCGCAGTCCTGGGGTAATAGTTGGACTTGATGATCTTAAAGGTCTTTCCCAATCTTGCTGATTCTATGATTCTGTGGTTATTCCCTTAGTCATTTTAGTTCATGACTCTGGGCTCTATCTGTTACAACAGTCTCAGGGCAGGAAAGATGGCATGTGGTGCTGGATTGCTGCATGCTGATCTGACTGCACCACCACTGCACTTCTCCAGTTTTATCCAAGTTCACTCTTCATGAATGTAGTGATCAGAAGGGAGTCAGGTTCGGATCCTCAAATCCAAAGCAGCAAAGACCTAGAAGCACATTTTGGCAGCTGACACAAATCCTCCTCTGTCCTGTTTAGGCTTCCAGATGGTCTGAGACAGCAGGCCCACTGCACAATAGGTGTTTAACTGTTAATATGAAGTTTCAGACAGATTGAGAACCTTGGCAAAGAGCATGCTGATGCAGAAATAGTGAAACCATCCAAGTAGACACATTCAGAGTGATTCTGTATCTGGAACCTGAAAAAAAGTACAGGAAGAAAACAGTGATTGTTAAATAATTTCTACTATTGAGCCAAATATTTTAACCTGCTGTAAAACAAGGCTTCTGCTGAAGTAGTTTCCAGTTGACTTTGTTCCCTAATAATATGTAGTTTCAGCCGCTAAAAGCAATGTGAGTGATGAATGATGTTATAAAAGCCTGTTTAACTCACATGGTGTTGCATGATTCTATGAACAATCCATACCAAGTATCATACAATAACAGAAGGAAAGACAAAAGACTTTATGACATATCCTGTGTAGAATTACTGAAGTCATAAATGCTCTGGAGAGAAAGATAAGGGGAACTGCTATTTGATGAGCCTAAAGCACATACGATTTTTCTTATGAGGCTGCTTAATCCATCTGTAAATTATCATACTCTCATACTTGTCACTTCATTCTCCTTCATCCCTAGAAAATGTATGTATATTTGCTAGGTAATGTGTATTTCAGGAAGATGTGCACAGAGAATAACACTGGAAACCAAAAAGTGTCAAAATCTGAAGAGATTGAAATGTTTATACTATGTACTGAAAAACATGTATAAATTAAGGTAAACAGGGATGATCGAGAACATTGTCTCGTTGTGCTAAGCTACCAAAAAACCCTTCTTGAATCAGGGACTTTTCTACATTGATGCTAATGGTGGATAGTTCATTTTCAAAGTCATAGCTATAACTCACAGGTGGGAAAAAAAGAATCTGGTAGAAATAACATTATGTTCTACACCTTAATTCTACATTTTCTTAAGTACATGTTAGATAATCACAAGGAACTTACAAGGCCTTCTTCAAGGCAGCGCCATTCTCCCAGTAGAAGGTTTCACCTTTCTTGTGCAACCCAATCCAGCAGTTGTCTATTTTCAAACACTTGGCTAATGAATGCTAAGAAAACAAAAAAGGGTATTTTGGATGTTTGTAAACATGAGCTCTCACCATGAGAAGCAAATTCCTCCAGTGACTTTTGAGCAGAACTAGTTCATCACTCTGTCACCTAGAACACTCATAAGCATTTCACTGATATTTTAAAGCTTAATTCTGTCTTTGAATTGACCCTTACAGTATCATAAACTTCAGTGAAGTTGTTCAATTCTATACCATTGAAAATTATTACTGTTCTCTAAACACAAAAGTACCCAAACACCATGTATTGGTTTCTGTCTGTCTATATGTTTATCAAGCTCTTACATATGCAGCAGCTCAGTCTAAATAGGTTGGTACATACAGGTGTTTCCTGCATTTCAGATGGGCATATCAGGACTCCTCCCCTTCCCAATTATTACTTACATAATTTACATTTAAAGATTTTTATCTGTGGGTGTACAAATAAAGTAAAAGACAGTTCAGTGCTCCAGAAGTTTTCAACAACCTGTAGTGAACACGGCAAAGAATAATGGAAGGTAATAGAAACAGCACTTGCAATGGGTTAATGTTATCTCATGAGACAACTATTAGCTGTCATCATGGCCTTTAATAGACATGGAAAGAGTGCAGCCTCATACTCCTCCAGTCTTCCACAGAAACTTCAGTTCAAACACAGCTAACTTTTTTGATTAAACTAGTTTACCGTTGACCCAAAAGACTGCAGATCTGTAAAAGTACTGTACACTTTTAGTACCACGCAGTAGTAAGATGTCACTGGCATTCACTGACTATATGCAACTGGACCATAACAGAGAAAATCAAAGTATTTTAACAAACTTGCTAGCGCGAGAAAATGTCCAAGCCAGTTGCAGCGGGAGCATGCTCCCATGACTGGTATAAGCATGCCTCTGTAAAAGGCATATCTAAAGGTGCAAGCAGACAAAGATGGACAATTTCTGGTATGCTGAAGAATGGTTTTAAATGTTTGGTTTCTTATAAAAACCAAAGTATCCACTTATTTGTCTGTACTAGATGTTGGACAGATTCATACCTGCTTTGAAGATGAAGGTCAGTCCAGGACAGAAGAGTAAAACTAGGCAAACTGACCCACTCTGAAGAGTTTTTCATAAAGTCAAATCCAGGCATCAAAGCAGTGTGGAACAGCTGCTACTGTTCCTGCAGCTACTGCAGCCAACTGGCTGTGACAAAGTACTTCCCACTGCCTGAATTCACACTTTTTATTTATTTTACAAGGATTTAAAGGATAACCATAGCATGCAAAATAAACAAATAAATAAATAAATAAATTACCTGAAGGAGAGAGATGCAGAAGTTGCATTCTGGTTTGTTGTTGGGGTGTTTTTTCCCATTACCATTTCTTCCTGGGTTTCAAAAGTGGCTAGCATGGATTCATTCTCTGTGCAGAAGGTCTGACTAGATATCCAGTTTTTCCTTCTCTGAGATGAAATAACATTTATTTTTGAAACCCATCCACCCTCTGGGGCACTGTTCAGGAGGACATTTTCCATGGTGACGTCTCAGGTTTTGCAGCTACAAAGGAAAAGAGAGAACAAAATTTCTACCTGGTAAAATCTTAGCATTCGTCACTGTAACTCAGCCTAGAATGTAGATTATTTGAGAGCCAATGCCACATGAGATGCTAGAAGAGAGGCCAAAGGGAGGGCAAAGGTTCTAACCTTCCCTGCCTTTCAAACACCATCTTCAGCTGAGAAATGTGAGGGTTGGGGGCCACAGCCTAATTATTGCAGTCAATAGAAAAAAAAAGTAGGTTTTAGAAAAACACCCTTGAATTTTAGAGAGTTAGGGACTCTGAAAACTGATGATTTATCCGTGACACATTCTAAATCCAGTAACAAGGTAATAACACTCATACTAATTTATTGATCGAGCTCATTTTAAGTAATAAAGTTGCTTGAGTATCTACAACTGGTGAGATATTCCATGAAGACAAGTTGCTTTGATTTTGTAATCACACTTTAAGTGCTTGATAAATCTATGGGAAGGTAAGTAAATTAGGTGTTGATATGATGCTATTTGAAAGCAATGGTTTGAAGAATGGCTCATTGGATTTGTTCCCCAGCACATTTTGATGCCCATTCATCTTGGTGGTGACAGGAGGTCACCCCTGTCACATCTTAATGGGTGACCGGACTCACTGACACATTTTGTTTCAGTGTTGAGCTCAATTCTTGCAATGAAGATAATTAACTTGCATTTACTTTGCTTTCTATTTTCCAACCAAAATAATCTGCCCTCATTGTTACTCAGTGGTGACAGTGACCTTTTCTGTGCAACATGTTGTCTTTTTTTAGCACACCCAGGCTCACGTAACCCACGCAAGGCCAGGCGAAAAACTACACTCTTAACAGTAGCCAGGAAGCAACAAAAAGGATTAAAACAAACAATAAAACAAACCAAAATTTTACATCTGAATCATCTGGATTTTATCGTAAGAATTCTCTCTCTGCATGGAGGTTATTCAAGCTTACACCAACATCAAAACAACCGAACTAGTGATGGAAGTCGCAGGTTTTGTGACTCTGCAGGCACAGCAGAGTACTAACACTGGTGTGCTTGGCTACTGTGATCCTGGAGCCCAGGAAAAAGTTGCCAGAATCTTACCAAGTAGAATGATGGTGATGATAGCCATCAGCAGAAACCCAAATGCTAGGCATAGCCTAAAGGCTTTGGAAAAAAAAAAAACTCCATTAATGGTTTTGTATATATGAGCAGTTAGACCCAGAATGTGTTTCAGTATTGAGACAGCAGCAGGATAGCCTTTCATTTAAGCTCCAACTACGTAAATCCAAAGCACTGCTGAAGTCAAACAGGACACCCTGAATTGACGTTTATGTAACTGGACAGTTTGATTAAAGGGCCGACTATCAAATCATTTGCTTATTTTTATTCATACACATCCCAAAGGTTTTCACAGATGTGCAGATCCCCATATAGCAAATTTAAACCTTCCAGCCCCAAGTTTATAATCTCCTCTATGTTTGCTGACCTCTCAGCAACAACCTTTGGAAGCTGAGAACTCAGAGGCCATCACTAACTCCAGTCAAGCTCCATCCATGTTTGGGAAACAGGAGAATGTTCTCACGCAGTTCAACCATTAAAGGTTGAGACTCAGAGTATGTCTGCAGTCTTGAATCAAATGTATTTTCTCTTGGTCACAAGCTGTCCTACACACACAGATTTTAATGCAGATATGCAAGCTCATCTGTTGCAAAGGCACAAACTGTTTTCTCTAATGAGTTTTGGCTTCGCTTCCTACCTCTTATCCATGAGTATTTCATACATCTAAACTATCACATGGAAAAATGCCCATTTTCACACAAAAGGATCCAACATAGACAGTTCACACTTGGATCAAACATAAGTTATCCTAACTTTTTGTGACTACAGCTTTGCTTAGAAGTAAACTCCTAGATTTTGGCTTCCCCAAGCTAGGGGTCCTGGAACTAGATTTGGAGCTAGACTTTAGACCTTCTGCAGGAAGGCGTCTTACCTACCACCAAAGAAACAAATATTACATTTTGACTGCAGAAACCACCTACGTGTCCTCCACATCAGTGAAATAGTTGTCACTTCTTGTTTGACATCAGTGAAGTCTATGTTCCCGGCAGATGTGGAGAGTACACAGAAGCCTCCAACCTGAGCCATGGCAAAGCCTGCACCCTTATATTCTCCAGGCACTTCAAGTGGGTGTCTCTGGATGTCAAGGGTACGAAGGGGCTGGGGCCACAGCCTGTATCCTCATCCTCCTCTTAGGCCTCAAGCACCTCCATGGGAGTGAAACCCAAACTGGGCGGGCAGCTTCTGCAGGAGGCAGCAGAAGAGGGAAAGGTTCATGTCTCTCTATCCTGGTGCCGGGACCAGCTGTGGCTGCTCCGATGGCTTTGGCAGCTGTTTTCCAGGGAACCACTGTGATCCAGGTGCTGCTCGGGGATGGGTCCCCCACATCCTAGTGGCTGGTGGTGCTGATGGGGCCGATGCTGATGGAAGAGCTGGTGCTTGGGGCAGGAGTGACTCACCTGGAGCATGACTTACATTCAACTGATGGGACAGAACGGAGTCTTTAATGGGGCCCTTGGCCACGCCTGGGAAAAGAGTGGCAGCGGGTGGGGGTGACAGGAGCAGGGAAAGTTCCTCTTTCAGGTCAGTATGGAGCAGGTGGGGGACTGACAGCATTCTGCGAGTGTTTCTGTGGCATTTTCTCACTCCTCTGAAGATCTGTCAAGTTCTAGAAATGAGGAAGCTCTGCAGTGTGCTGTCGTTTCAGGCACAGGCACAAGTGTTTGGAAAACCTTAATGAAGCTAATGTATCTCGGCGTGTTTTGGGGGTTGGTTGGTTGGTTTGGCTGCATTTTTGTTTGGTTTTGGTTTTTATTTTCTTTTTCGTCTGAGTCTGCAGCATCTTACATGTGCTTTACTCCCTGACATGCCTTATCTTCTCCTTAGATATGTGTTCACAGCTCTCTTTCTGGAAAAGAATTGTAGGTATTTTCATTCCAATTGCTGTGACTTCACTTTCAGCGTGGATTGCCTTAACTGAGTGCATTTCTTAATAAAACAAACCAAAAACAACCTAGCTCTGGAAACAAAAGAATTTCTCACTTTCCTTTTGCTGTCTTTTCATTTTGGTAAGTAAGAGGTATTTCCTGTGTTTTATGTCGCAAGGAAGTGTCATGACTAATGTACAGAGAGGTTAGAGGCTGGTAGAGGGAAGGGAAGCTGAACTGTGTTATGGCTTTGTCCTTATTTGTTTATTTATGGTAACATTAAACTGACATACTGTTTTTAAGCTTTCTGCAGGATGTCATTGGGCTGCAGTATGGCAAAATACTCAGGAATGACAAAGCCATAAGCAGAGTAAGGAGGCAATACTGACTTCCTGGCTCTGGCCTCTAGGGTATTTTTACAGCTGGGTATATTGAACCAACACCACCTGTTTAGGGTCTAATTGCAGCTTCTTCACAGTAGATAACTAGCATCTATGCACTCTGTCAAAGACAGTCTCTGCCCTGATGTTCTGCCATGGTTTAAGCTCAGCTGGCAGCTAAGTACCACACAGTTGCTTGCTCACTGCCCCCTTTCCCTAGCCGGTAGAATTGGAAGCATGTAAAACCTGTGGGTTAAGATAAGAGCAGCTTAATAACTGAAATTGAGTAAAATATTATGATAACAGAAATAATATCAACAATAACAATACTGATAATAATCATAGGGAACAGTAAAAAAAGGAGATATAAAAATTCAGAAAACACAAGTGATGCACCATATGTTGCTCAGCACCCACTGACCCATACCTAGCCTGATCCAAGCAGTGACCAGTGCCTCCCAGTTGACTCCCCCTAGTTTATATACTGGAGTAACATGTTGTGGGCTGGAATATCCCTTTGGCTAGTGTGGGTCAGATATCCTGGCTGCGCTCTTCCCACTGGCAGAGCATGAGAGACTGAAAAGTCCTTGATTTAGAGTAAGTGCTACTTAGTAACAAGTGAAAACATCCTGTTTTCAGCATTGTTCTCAAGACTAAAGTCAAACCACAGCACTGCACCAGCTACTGGGAGGAAAATGAACTCTGTGCTAGCTAAAACTGGAATTTGTTCCC